TTTTCCTGGCATTACTTATTGACTCATACAGGTGTCCTCCTTCTTTTCAGAGATTGTAATTCCTTCTTGTGTTTGTCTGGTACTCTGGAAACCAGTCTATGGAACATATTGAACTGCAGTATAAATAATATACATGCTTATTTTATCATCAGTCAACTTAGTGATCAGGAAAGAATTTTAACACATTTTTAAATGGTTAGATGTCATTGGAGCTGGACTAACCATAGGACAGAGTGAGACTATGGCTAGATCTACACTGCCATATAATCCAGAATTTTGAAGTAGATAGAATCATACATTTGGAAGAGACTTCATGGGCCATCCAGTCCAAACCCCTGCCAAGAAGCGGGAAAATTGCATTCAAAGCACTCCCAACAGATGGCCATCCAGCTACTGTTTAAAAGCCTCCAAGTGGATTATATGAGTCTACACTGCCACATAATCCAGTTCAAAGAAGACAATCTGGATGTTATACAGAGGTGTAGGCTGAATCCACACTGCCATATAATTAAGATTATCAAATCAGATAATCTGGATTGTCTGCTTCGAACTCAGTTATCTGAGACTGCATCTATACTGCGCTATATCCTAGGATCTGACTCCAGATAATCTGGCAGTGGAGACTCATATAATCCAGTTCAAACCAGATAATCTGGGATTAGATACTGGATTATATGACAGTGTAGATCCAGCCTAGGACTCCAGAGACCAGGGCTTGATTTCCTGCTTGGCCACTGAAAGCCACCTACACTGACCATTTAATGCAGTTTGAAACTAGCGTTAAACTGCAGTGGCCACCATGAAAGTGGATTTTTGCAAAGGTGTGCAAAAGAAATCCTTTAATATGTACATCAGTGCTCTGTTGTTTGTGAATCCGCCATCTGAGCCTCAAACTTGATTCCAGGATTCCCCATTTAATCATCTACAGCCCTAGGTAATTTTCAAAGGTAAGCAAACAGTATTTGCCCCCCCCCCCCCAAAAAAAAAATCACTGATATATATTTTCTGTTCATCGTGGGAGTTCTATATGCCATATTTGGTTCAATTCCATCACTGGAAGAGTTCAGAATGCTCTTTGACTGTAGGTGAACTATACATCCCAGTAACTACAACTTGCATATGTCAAGGTCTATTTTCCCTCAAGAGCGCCTCAAGAGCACCCCTGGGCAAAATCAAGTATACTGCAAATGCCTACTTTGCATAATGGGTTGAGCCGCCCCTGTCTGCACAGCAAAACCACTTCCTTCAATGCCAGTTTGAAAACTCCATTAAATGGTCAGTGTAGATGGGGTCTGGGTGACCTTGGGTGAGTGACACACTCTCAGCTATAGAAAACTCAATGATGGGCTTATTTAAGAGCCACAACTACTCAGGGAAGGTTCTACTGTCAATCCGGGCAGCTTTGATACATGAAATAGCAAAGGAGAGACATCATGCGCTTTCTTCAGGTGGCTAAATTTTTTGGGCCAAGAGGGAGAAAATGTGGAGGCAGTGACAGACTTTGTATTTCTAGGCGCAAAGATGACTGCAGATGCCGACTGTGGCCAGGAAATCAGAAGACGCTTACTTCTTGGGAGGAGAGCAATGTCCAGTCTCGATAAAATAGTAAAGAGTAGAGACATCAGACTGGCAACAAAGATCCGCCTAGTCAAAGCCATGGTATTTCCTGTAGTCACCTACGGATGTGAGAGCTGGACCTTAGGGAAGGCTAAGCAAAGGAAGATAGATGCTTTTGAACTGTGGTGTGGGAGGAAAATTCTGAGAGTGCCTTGGACAGCAAGAAGATCCAACCAGTCCATACTTCAGGAAATAAAGCCTGGCTGCTCATTGGAGGGAAGGATATTAGAAGTAAATATGAAATACTTTGGCCACATCATGAGAAGACAAGAAAGCTTGGAAAAGATAATGATGCTGAGGAAAATGGAAGGAAAAAGGGAAAGGGGCCGACCAAGGGCAAGATAGATGGATGGTATCCTTGAAGTGACTGGCTTGACCTTGAAGGAGCTGGGGGTGGCCACGTCAACAGAGAAATCTGGCCTGGGCTGGTCCATGAGGTCACAAAGAGTTGGAAGAGACTGAATGAAGAAACAATAGGATCATTAGAATGCCTTAATCTACATTTCTCGATGGATCTAGATGGATCTAGATTATTTCTCGATGGATCTAGATTATTTCTGATGGAGGGAGTCATCATAGGGAAAAGGAACCTTGAACACTTAATAATAAATAATAAAACTTTATTTGTACCCCGCTACCATCTCCCCAAGGGACTTGGTACAGCTTACAAGAGGCCAAGGCTTGTGGTTGGTATCCTGCAGGCAGCTGTCAATCTGGAAACCACAATTACTTAAACTTTCTGTGCCAGCCACAAAGATCCAAGGTCTCACCTGACTCCTGGTTGACTTCAAATAAGTTTGACAAATTTGTTGAATGCTGTAAACAACAGTGGTGAGGAATCCTGTGCCTTGGGGATTTATGCAGAAGAGCAAAATTAAACGTGTATATTTTTAGTCCAAGAGCTGGTGTCGTCCATAGACACCTCCAAGGTCGTTAGCTGGGGCTAACAGCGGGAGCTCATACTGCTCCCTGGATTTGTACCTGCAACTTTTTGGTCAACAAGTTCAGCAGCTCAGTGCTTTAATCCACTGCACCACTGAGGGCTCCTTTACCTCTTCGATAATGGACTCCAAAATAGATGAGTTATTTCTTCCAACTTATCTCTTCAATATGAATATATAGAAGAATGAGTTCATTGACAATAAGTAAAGGTAAAGGTTTTCCCCTGACATTAAGTCCAGTCATGTCTGACTCTGGGGGTTGGTGCTCATCTCCATTTCTAAGCTGAAGAGCCAGTGTTGTCAGTAGACACCTCCAAGGTCTTGTGGCCGGCATGACTGCATGGAGCACTGTTACCTTCCCGCCAGAGCGGTACCTATTGATATACTCACATTTGCATGTTTTCGAACGGCTAGCTCAGCAGAAGCTGGGGGTAACAGCAGGAGCTCACCCCGCTCCCTGGATTAGAATCTGCGACCTTTCAGTTAGCAAGTTCAGCAGCTCAGCAGTTTAACCTACTGCGCCACCGGGGGCTCCTCTCATTGACAATCCAGGAAATGGATAAACCCAGGAAAAGATGGGACGGACACCATAAATGAAGATATGCGTGCTGCCCACTTGTGACCTGAGAATGCCCAAAACAAAGCCCTGTGGAAACAGCAGTCACAGTGCTAACCCCTCCATTAGGAAAATAGCCTAGAAAGAATAAGCTCAGGAAAGTAAGTACCTATTTTGTACTGAATTTATAAAGAATCCTCTGGCTTTTTTCTCATATTATAGACTGGATTTTTTAATTAAAACCCTCCCAACATTTCACAGCTTACTTCAAAAGCTGCAAATGGAGTTCAAAGGACAAGGTAATTCGCCCACATGTTAATTCCAGTGAGAGAGAAAATAGGACATGTCCTTCCGTGTAGAATCAGACAAAAGTAAACTGCTGCAAACTTTTGGCTTGTGAGTTCTCATTAAGTCCTTCTGCTGTCTTGACCACACCTATCTGTTTTCATCTATTATATATTAGAGAGAGTTTGAGGCACCTTGTGTATCAAGGGCAGGTCATACCCACTCTATGTTTGAGTCAGCAATAAGCAATCAAGATCTTTCCACTTAGTGTTTACAGAGGAAATACCAATAAATTAAAAGCTTGTGCAATCGCTATTCCTGTTGTGCCAACAATTCTCCATGTTGCCACTCTATGCCAGTAAATATGGTGCTTTTGTACCAACCTCTTACTTTCACTCACCTGTTACCACCTGCCTCTGCTGCTCCAACTCATTCCTTTTACTCCTGTTGAGTTTCCTTCACCTAGGACCTTGTGCATTACATTAACTGCTATGGAATCCTTTGATTGACCACTTAGGAAGCCATAAACGAAGCCGTACATATGAAATGGAGGAGCCCCCTCTTTCCACCGGCTTAGGGAGCTAATGATATTTGCCGTATATATTTGAGTATAAGCCGACCTGAATATAAGCCGAGGCACGTAATTTTACTACAAAAAACTGGGAAAGCGTATTCATTCAAGTATAAACCGAGTGGAAAATGCAGCAGCTTTTTTTTCATGTCAGGAGCAACTTGAGAAACTGCATGTCACTTCTGGTGTGAGAGAATTGGCCGTCTGCAAGGACGTTGCCCAGGGGACGCCTGGATGATTTGATGTTTTATCATCCTTGTGGGAGGCTTCTCTCATGTCCCCGCATGAGGAGCTGGAGCTGATAGAGGGAGCTCATCCGCCTCTCCCCGGATTTGAACCTGCGGCCTGTCGGTCTTCAGTCCTGCCAGCACAGGGGTTTAACCCACTGCGCCACCGGGGGCTCCATAATGCAGCAGCTATTGGTCAATTTCAAAATAAAAATAGATACCTATAAAATTACATTCATTGAGACAACCGCAGGTTAAATATTTTTGAATATTTACATAAAACCGTGATTTAAGATAAGACTGTCCAACTCTGATTAAACCATTATATCAAACCTTCTTCAATGTAAACATGCTTACATATCCTTCCAATAACAGTAATAATAGAGTAAAACAATAAATGTAATATTAACAATAGAGTAAAATAATAAATGGAATAATAAGAGTAAATAAAACATGTAATAACAACAGAGTAAAATACTAAATGTAATAAAAGTATATGGTAGTGTAGAAGGGGCCTCCATTTTATTTTAGAGGGAGACCCATGAGAAGCATGTGATGGAAGTTTGAACTGAATCAGAGTCTCAAGGATATAGGGGCTGTGCTGTATTCACAAATATGGACCAGGTATCATTTTGATTGCTTTTCTACTCAGCCCTCAATAGGCAGCCAGTGTGCCACAGCTGAAGAAATACTTATTGACTAATATGTGAGGAATGGGACTCAAAAACAAGTCCATTATTGTGTGGACTACAATGCTTTCCAGAGGACACACAGAAACACAAATCACACAGGCACCAAAACCAGAGGATGACAAAAGTGCAATAATTTATTCATGTGGACACGACATCAGCGTCTCAGTTTGGCAGTGAGGAGACATGCCCATTTTTGTAACAAAGAGCGGAAGTGTGCAGGAAGGAAGAGAGTGAGGAAGCCCCATTCGTGCAGAGGGGGAAGAAGGGCAAAAGGAGGCAGCTGAAGTGAAGCAGGATGGGAAGGAAGCTTCCAAGACAACTTGCACAGAGTCCCCTCTGCAACCATGCAGGGTTTGGGAGGCTCTTAATCCACCTCCTCAATTGTGGGGCCTGAAGAGCCGCCCCCAGCTCCTCCGGCTCCTGGGAAGCCACCGGGCATCCCTCCGGGCATCCCTCCGGGCATGCCCCCAGCTCCTTGGTACAGCTTGGTAATGATGGGATTGCAGACATTCTGCAGCTCCTTCTGCTGATGTTCATATTCATCCTTTTCGGCCATCTGCACAGTGAAGAAAAGATGAAGCTTTGAAATAACAGATTTTGGAGTTCTAGAGAAAAGCACTACCATGATAGGTGCGAGACTGCGTTCTATCAAAGTGTTGGGTCTTCCACCTTGTTTTTCTGTTGCTCTAGAGACCAGGACTCAAATTGCCGGGAAAGAAATTCCACCTAAATATTAGGAAGAACTTCCTGAGTTGTTCAACTGTGGACTATACTACAAATGCCCTACAGACTGGACTTTATTAGACATTTTTCCCCCAAAAAACTAGATGGATGATGCAATTATGAGAAGGCGGAGAGATTAATTACAATTGAAATGCAAGAGAATAATTGCCCAGAAAGGATAAGAATTTGGAAGTCAAAAAGAAGATTTTTATTTTTTATTTTTCCTTTCATATTTTTTCTTTGCCATTTTTTCCATATACACACACACACACACCTTTTCCGCCATTTTTCCTATTTTTTCTCTCCCTTTTTTATATTCTCTATTTTTATTACTTATTTCAATTTTTTTACCTTTCATTCCCCTTTAGCCTTCCCCCCCCACTCCCATTAGTAAGAAACCTCTGTACCCCTTTTATCAGTTAGCCTCTTTTCCTTTTTTCCTTTTCACCAATCTATTTTTTTACCCCTTTTTACCTACCCCCTCCTATCCCCCGCCTTTTTTTCCCTTTCTTCTCCATCCCTTTTTTCCCTTTCTCTTCCCCCCCCCCCTTATTTTCCTTAAACAATCAATAAAATTATTTTGAAAAAAACAGTGGACTATACTGCCTTGGTGTGTGGTGAAGTTTTTAAGCAGAAGGCTGGATGGCCATCTGTTGGGAGGGTTTTGCGTGGGAGTTTCTGCTTGGCAGAAAGGAGCTGAACTTCTACAATCTAAAATGTCTTTGGAAAATGAGCTAATAGGAAGTTATTTATTTATTTATTTTAAACATTTGTACCCCGCCCTTCTCAACCGCACCCCGGGGGGGGGGGGGGGGGGGGAGACGGGACTCACATCCGGCACACTTCAATGTCATTATATATAAATAATACATACAGTAATTACATATAAAAACACAATAAATTAATTTTAAAATTAGTTTTAAAATAAAAAGTACATTAATAAAAAGTGCAATAATACTGGGAGTCTAGCCTTATGTAGAAACAAATTGAGCAAGCACAACACAATCGGAAGCCTGTCCATTTTCCATAACATTATCATCATTACCACTGTCAATTTCTGTCAGCTACTCAAAGGCCTGATCCCATAACCACGTTTTCAATTTCCTCCTGAAGGTGAGGAGGGATGCTGTTGACCTGATTTTGCTGGGGAGCGAGTTCCACAGGCGGGAGTCCATCACCAAGAAGGCCCGAGAAGTTACTGGTGTTTTATGCTTTTAATGCTTTTTACAAGGTTTTTATAATTTGTGTTAATTGTTTTTAATTTTGTTTATGTTCATTGTAGCATCGAATCGTGCCCATGTAAGTCGCCTTGAGTTGCCTTCGGGCTGAGAAAGGTGGCACAGAAATGCAGTAAATAAATAAATAAATAAATGTCTGTGTCTATTGGAAAAGCAATTCTTTCTCTGCATTGAGCCAAGGTTTATGAAAGCAGATTGGAAATCACAATAGATTAGTGAGAAGATAGGCGTATGGCCTTCAGATACTCTTGCTGAGACCCATATTTGGGAAGCTTCAATTGCCCTCTAGTGGAGAACTGAAAGTAGCTATTCCTAAATTGCTCCTAGAATAATGGTTCTCAATCTGTGGGTCCCAAGATGTTTTGGCCTTCAACTCCCAGAAATCCTGGGAGTTGAAGGCCAAAACACCTGGGGACCCACAGGTTGAGAACCATTATCCAAGAAGATCATCCTACCTAAAGGAAAGATGAGGCTGAGAGGAGACACCAGGAAGAAAATCCTGGCCATAAAAGGGTCAACAGACTACCCTGGAGGATGGTGAGCTTTCCTCCATTGGAGGTCTTTCATCAGTGGTCGGATGGCCAACTCACAGGCATGGTCTCATTATTGACTAGATATGCCCTGATAACTACAAGGCCACATCTGAACGTATCTCCCTCTATGTCTCACCTCGGACTTTAAGATCGTCCAGGGAGGCCCTCCTCTTGGTTCCGCCCACTTCACAAATGGGTTTGGCGGGGACAAGGGAAAGGGCCTTCTTGGTGGTGGCCCCCCACCTCTGGAACACCCTCTCCAGTGAGATTAGGTCAGCTTCATCCCTCCTCTCCTTTAAGGAAGGTTTTAAGGAAGAAGCTTAAATCATGGTTCTGGGGCCAGGCATTTGGGGAGCAAGCTTGATACCAATAGCAGTGTTTTATGTGAACTGACAATGGACAGGCTCTGACAAAGTCTTTGAACGCTGAACTGGATTGGATTTGGCTACATGGTTGTTAATAATGTTTTTTAACTTAATGGCTTTATTTAATGTATAATGTTGTGATATATTGTGTATGTATTCTGTATGTGTTGGCATCCAATTGTTGCTGATGTAAGCTGCCCAGAGTCAACCCTTCGGGGGTTGAGAAAAATGGGGTACAAATGTTGGAAATAATAATAATAATGAGGAGGAGGAGGAGACGACGAAGATGACGACAACTCTGGCACAAGCCAGTCAAGGTGGTCCCAGTGGTTATCGGCACACTGGGTGCAGTGCCTAAAGACCTTGGCCTGCACTTAAACACAATCAGCGCTGACAAGATTACCATCTGCCAACTGCAAAAGGCCACCTTACTGGGATCTGCACACATTATTCGCCGATACATCACACAGTCCTAGACACTTGGGAAGTGTGCGATGTGTGATCCAATACAACAGCCAGTAGTGTCTGCTGTGGATTCATCTTGTTGTGTTTCAAATAATAATAATAATAATAATAATAATAATAATAATAATAATGAAAAATCATTCTTGGGAATGGTCAATACCACAGTCGTAACTGCTGAAGCACAGGCGGTCAACATAACATGCATCCATTGTCACACTCCCAAGAAACCTCCTCTGACTAAACCTTACTAAAAGGAAATCCTTACATGGCCATCATATGTCAGAGATCATTTACATGCATATAACAAAGACACCTCCTCTGGTGTCATAGCATTATTGCTTTTGAATTCCTTAGGTTATTGGTATTTACTTCAGTTTGAATTTACTTTCCTGAACAGGAAATCACTCTAAACATAGGACCTATCTCTTCCTACTATTCCAACTATTCTTGCAAACTCACCTGGTTCCTGTCCAGCCAGGAAATGACCTCATTGCACTTGTCCAGGATCTTCTGCTTGTCCTCCGGGGACAGCTTGTCCTTCAGCTTCTCATCCTCTGCGGTGCTCTTCATGTTGAAGGCCAGCGACTCCAGGGAGTTCTTGGCCGCAATCTTTTCCCTCTGGACTTCATCCTCCGCCTTGTATTGCTCTGCCTCTTGCACCATACGCTCAATCTCTTCTTTGCTGAGACGACCTAAAGCAAGAAGAAGAATTGGGTCAAGGAGATAATTTTTTAAAACCAGCATGGGCCAGTTACAGCCTTCCCAGATATTGTTGGGACTGTAAATCCCATCTGCCTTAGTCGGTACAACCAGTGGTGATGATGATGGGCATACAGTCCTACCTCTGGGAGTTAGATCTGACCACCTGCTGGCTTGTAGGGTCATTCATAAGGTAGCAAAGGTAAAAGTTTCCCCTGACATTAAGTCTAGTCGTGTCCAACTGGGAGGTGGTGCTCATTCCCATTTCTAAGCCGAAGAGCCAGCGTTGTCCGTAGACACCTCCAAGGTCTTTGGCCAACATGACTGCATGGAGTGCCGTTACCTTCCCATAGAAGCGGTACCTATCGATCTATTTGCATTTGCATGTTTTCGAACTGGTAGGTTTGCAGAAGCTGGGGCTAACAGTGGGAGCTCACCCTGCTCCCTGGATTCAAACTGCCGAACTTTCGGTCAGCAAGTTCAGCAGCTCAGAGGTTTAACCCGCTGCACCACCAAATGCTAAAATATAAAGGTGGGACTCATGTAGTCCTCCAGATGATGTTGGACTGCAACTTCCAGAAGTGAGTAAAGAGGATATTGTAGCCCATCATTGCCAAAACTCAATTTTCCATCCACACTCACCTTTATCGTTAGTGATTGTGATTTTGTTCTCCTTCCCAGTGCTCTTGTCAACAGCAGACACATTGAGGATGCCGTTGGCATCAATGTCAAAGGTGACTTCAATCTGTGGGACACCCCGAGGAGCAGGGGGGATCCCCGTCAATTCAAACTTGCCCAGCAAGTTATTGTCTTTGGTCATGGCACGCTCTCCTTCATACACCTGTAGGGTGGGAAGACACACCAGAGGGTTAGAAAGCGATGCTGGAAACCCTCCAAAAAAAGGTTAAGGAACCACTGGCTGACTTCTATATCAGGAACGTTTTGAGAGATTACACTCCAGCAGTGGACTGGGCCAATATCCAAGTGATGGATCAACAAAAAACTCAGCCTATCCGACTTGTAACTAAACTTGGTTGAGAGTAAACAATTATAGAGAATCATAGGGTTGAAAGAGACCTCGTGGGCCATCCAGGCCAACCCCCTGCCAAAAAGCAGGAAAACTGCATTCAAAGCACCCCCAACAGATGGCCATCCAGCCTCTGTTTAACACTATGTAACAAATTTTGAATTTTTTTCTGTTTCCTGTTTTGAAAGTGTTATTTCCTGTTCAATCGTGCAGTACTTACTTTGAAAGAAGTTATTATACTTCAGAAACATAGTTTCTGTGCCTGCCACAAACTATGTTGAATTGTTTGGGACCCAATGATATTCACTGAAAAACTATAGCAAAATGTGATGCAGGGTGTCTTGAAAAAACAAAGTTTTTTGCAGTTTGATAAACTTTTTTTCCATGTTTGTATGATAGAAGCAATTAGGAAATGAGATTTATAACCCAGGAAGAAACTCATGTTACAAAGTATAAACAAGTTACTGTATCTACTCGATACAGCCTGGTTTTTCAACCCCCTTTTTAGGCTGAAAAAGCTCCCCTCATCTTATACTCAAGTGAAGGTTATTTATTATTTTACTCTGTTATTAAGTATTATTTTTATTACATTTCTTATTTTACTCCATTTATTATTATTATGATTACATTTACATTATTTTACTCTATTTTTATTTTATTATTATTCCATTTATTATTGTTATTATTACATTTATTATTTTATTTATTTATTTATTATTGTTGTTACATTTATTATTTTACACTATTTTTATTATTACATTTATTGTTTTACTCTATTATTATTGGAAGGATATGCAAGAATATTTACATTGAAGGTGGTTATAATAATGGTTTAATCAGAGTGGATAGTCTTATCTTAAATTACAGTTTTATGTAAATATTCAAAAACATTTAACCTAGTGATGCCTCAATTAATGTAATTTTATTGGTATCTAACAGTAATTTTATTGGTATCTAACAGTAATTTTATTGGTATTTACCAATAGCTGCTGCATATCTCACCCTCAGATTATACTCGAGTCAATACATTTTCCCAGTTTTTTGTGGCAAAATTAGGTGCCTTGGCTTATATTCGAGTCGGCTTATACTCGAGTATATATGGTAAGTCATGAACATTTTCGCTCATTACCTCCTTACTTTAGAAATGGTGGGTGTATAAAGGTTTCTGTAAAAAGGGAAGTCTAAATCTTTGCTAGAAGTTTTGCCAGACTGGGGCAAACCAAGAATGGGCAACTTGGAAATCCCTGAACAGACTCAGAAGTGGAGTGGGCAACCTGGCAAAATGAAACTATTTAAAAGATTTCTCCACTTTGTGCAACTATGGAGCAGAACAAATAATTCCGCACCTGTATGCATGTCCACAATGTCCTGCCTCATGTACAGAGGAAGAATTGTTTAAAGCTACAGACAATGCAGTCGCAGTTGCATGGTTTTGGTCAAAAATTATTTAGCCACTTGAACTCCTTCTATTTTTATCAGTTTTATACTTATATATGCAATGTTTTCGACAAAAAATAAATAAGCATTATTTCTAAATTCTTCCATTAAATTATCCACAAACCACAGTGTTATCAAAATCAAGAAATAGTTTTCTAAGATCTACAGAGACATTTGCTGGAACACCTCAGCAAGCGAGAGTCCAAAAGTGGCAGGATCAAACCCAAAACCTCAATCAATGGCTGATACCAAATGAGAGACTCCCCCCGGGCACACATAAAACTGGGCAACTTGGAAGGCGCTGAACAGACTGCACTCTGGCACCACAAGATGCAGAGCCAACCTTAAGAAATGGGGCTACAAAGTGGAATCCACGACATGCGAGTGCGGAGAAGAGCAAACCACTGACCACCTGCTGCAATGCAACCTGAGCTACATGCACAATGGAGGACCTTCTTATAGTAAAACCAGAGGCACTCCAAGTGGCCAGCTAATGGTCAAAGGAAATTTAATCAACTACCAAGCTTGGAAACTTTGTGTTTTGTTTGTTTGTTAAAAAATGCAATACAACTGTTTGGCTTGCTCCTGACACGATAAATAAATAAATCAAAATCTATTGCATTACCACACCAGCCCTGCTGAATTCAGTTTCCACTTACTTGGATGAGGACTCCTGGCTGGTTGTCAGAGTAAGTGGTGAAGGTCTGTGTCTGCTTGGTGGGGATGGTGGTGTTGCGCTTGATGAGGGCTGTCATCACCCCACCGGCCGTCTCAATACCCAGGGACAATGGTGTGACATCCAACAGCAGCAGATCCTGCACATTCTCGGATTTGTCACCACAAAGGATGGCAGCCTGGACAGCTGGGGGAGCAAAGAAACGGGGTCAAGAAGCTGCCTGAGAAGATAAACCCTTCCTTGCCCACAATACCTCCCTAGAAGCCTTCAACTAAAGACACCAGATAAGTTTCAAGCTACCCATCAGCAAAAGTAAATTGCTGGCTATAGTGATCTGTTGGGCTGATATTGTGAGCTTCTCTGGAACAGGTGCCAATCACTGCTATCTATTTGACTGTGCTTTCCTGCATGGCAGGGAATTCGACTGGGTGGCCAATGTGGTCTCTTTAATAATGTACAAGGGCTGAATAAAAATAATGCCTCCAACTTTGTAACTCCTCAACAGATGGCAGTACGGTATGCGGCAGGTACTGGCTTGTTCAGTAGACTCTCCTCTACAGTTCCATTTTGGCAGGAAGCCTTAGCATTGAACGGTTGTGTTTTTAAAGTGCGAAGTATGGAACCCTGCGCAGACGGTCGGTCAACACAACTTATGCAACGTATGTGACAGGTACTGGCTTGTTCAGTAGACTCTCCTCTACAGTTCCATTTTGGCAGGAAGCCTTAGCATTGAACGGTTGTGTTGTTAAAGTACGAAGTATGGAACTCTGCGCAGACAGTCGGTCAATGCGACTTAAGCAATGTGCAGTCACTGAATTCTTAACAGCAGAAGGTGTCACCTCAATATCTTTAAGCTTACTCGCCCAACCACGCAAAGTACTCACATCAACACAATCACCATAAACAGCTTGCATTCTCTGATGAATCTCCTTTGGGGTGACACTTTCTGCTGTCAAGAATTCAATGACTGCACATTGCTTAAGTCGCATTGACCAACCGTTTGCGCAGGGTTCCATACTTTGCAGTTTAACAATACAACCGTTCAATGCTAAGGCTTCCCGCCAAAATGGAACTGAAGAGGAGAGTCTACTGAACAAGCCAGTACCTGCTACATACTAGTACTGTCATCTGTGGAGGAGTTACGAAGGTGGAGGCATTACTTTTCATTCAACCCTTGTATGTTCAGAAACTGCCTCTTCCTGCAGAATGGAGCAGCAGCTTTTCTGCATCTGCTCATTTTTCCTTCTTCACTAACTCTGATTCGAAACTTCCTTTAGAAAGGGTGGGAACAATTCAAAACCATATAAGACTACAATTCCAGCCATACTGTGAAATGGATTGTAGTACAACATTCCTGCTGGAATGGGCAGCTCTTCTGGTTTCTTCCAACACGACAATTCTATCCCAACCTGTTAGCAATTTCCTTTTGGCGACGACTCTTTACCTGCTCCGTAAGCCACTGCCTTGTCAGGGTTTTCCGGGCTGTATGACCATGTTGCAGAAGCATTCTCTCCTGACGTTTCGCCCATATCTATGGCAGGCATCCTCAGAGGTTGTGAGGTCTTTTGGAAACTAGGCAAGTGAGGTTTATATATCTGCGGAATGTCCAACAAAGGATTCTCCCAGGCAGCAACCAGCCAGACTTTGAAGCTGCAAGGCCATTCAATGCTAATCAAGGTGCAACTGCAACATTCACGTGTACCTCAAGCAGACAAGAGTTATTTCTTCCACCCTGCACATTCCAAAGATATATAAACCCCACTTGCCTAGTTTCCAACAGATCTCTCAACCTGTAAGGATGCCTGCCATAGATCTGTGAGCGAAACGTCAGGAGAGAATGCTTCTGGAATATGACCGTGCAGAATGGAAAACTCACAGCAATCCAGCAGCTCTATCCCAACCTGTTAGCTCTTTCCTTTTGGCTACTGCTCTTTACCTGCTCCATAAGCCACTGCTTCGTCGGGGTTGATGCTCTTGTTGAGCTCTCTTCCGTTGAAGAAGTCCTGCAGAAGCTTTTGGATCTTGGGAATACGGGTTGAGCCTCCCACGAGCACAATGTCGTGGACCTGGGATTTGTCCAGCTTGGCGTCACGCAAGGCTTTCTCTACGGGCTCCAAGGTGCCCCGGAAAAGGTCGGCATTCAGTTCTTCAAAGCGGGCCCGGGTGATGGAGGTGTAGAAGTCAATGCCTTCGTAGAGCGAGTCTATCTCGATGGAGGCCTGGGTGGAGGAGCTGAGGGTGCGCTTGGCCCGCTCACACGCCGTTCGCAGGCGTCGGACTGCCCGCTTGTTGTCTGTGATGTCCTTCTTGTGCTTGCGCTTGAACTCTGACACAAAGTGATTCACCATGCGGTTATCGAAATCCTCGCCTCCTAAGTGAGTGTCCCCAGCGGTTGACTTCACCTCAAAGATGCCATCTTCAATGGTCAGGATGGACACATCAAAGGTACCACCGCCCAGGTCAAAGATGAGGACATTGCGCTCGCCACCCACCTATCAAAGCAACAGATCAACAGTGAGAACCACAACCTCTTCAGAAAGGTTTCCATGTGCCGTGTCAAAGACTAACAACTGATATTAATAGAGAGCAGACTTAGGCAAACTTTGCTCCTCCAGGCGTTTTGGACTTCAATACACTAGTCCTCTGTTGCGACAGCTCCACTGGCTGCCAATTTGCTACCAAGCACCATTCAAAGTGCTGGCTTTAGCCTATAAAGCCCTAAATGGTTCTGGCCCAGCTTACCTGTCCGAACATATCTCCTCCTATGAACCATCTAGGAGCTTAAGATAATCTGGGGAGGCCCTGCTCTCGATCCCGCCTGCCTCGCAAGCACGATTGGTGGGGATGAGGGACAGGGCCTTCTCAGTGTTGGCCCCCTGGCTATGGAAATACCTCCCCCTCCTTCCTGACTTTCTGAAAAAAGGTAAAAACTTGGCTATTTGAGCAAGCTTTTGAGAATGCAGTGGAATAGATAACATGGAACTATGAATTGATGAACATGGAATGGTTAGACGATGTTACTGGAAATGCTTTTAACAAGACAACACCAATAATTAGATGTTTTAATAGTTTTTATATATGTTTTATATTGTTATGTTGATGGTTTTTAACTGCACTTTTATGGATGTATGGCATCGAATTGTGCCAATATGTAACCCGCCTTGAGTTGCCATAAGGCTGAGAAAGGCGGGCTATAAATATCGTAAATAAATCTATATAAATAAAAATTTAATGTTCATTTGTGGGATTAACAGAACTCAAAAAACTCTGGGACAAATTGACACCAAATTTGGGCACAAGACACCTAACAACCCAATGTATGTCCTTCACTCAAAAAAATTGATTTTGTCATTTGGGAGTTGTAGTTGCTGGGATTTATAGTTCACCTACAACCAAAGAGCATTCTGAACCCCACCAACAATGGAATTGAACCAAACTTGGCACACAGTTCTCCCATGACCAACAGAAAATACTGGAAGGGTTTGGTGGGCAGTGTCCTTTGGTTTTGGAGTTGTAGTTCACCTACATCCAGAGAGCACTGTGGACTCAAACAATGATGGATCACCAAACTCTACACGAATACTCAATATGCCCAAATGTGAACACTAGTGGAGTTTGGGAAAAATAGAATTGACATTTGGGAGTTGTAGTTGCGGGGATTTATAGTTCACCTACAATCACAGAACATTCTGAACCCCACCAATGATACAATTGGGACAAACCGCTCACACAGAACGCCCATGTGGGCCACAGCAACGCATGGCAGGGGACAGCTAGTCACTCATAAAAACACTAAAAAACACAGCGGAAGAGACTTAAAAAGCCAAAGAAATACATTAAACGCATGTGCAAAATCACCTATATATACACAAACATACATATACACACATATATACACGCAAAACACATATACACAGACTGGGCCACAGCAACGTGTGGCAGGGGACGGCTAGTAAATAAATAAAACTGTTAGGCTATTAGGAATTATGGAAGTCCAAAACACCTTGCGGGTCTAATTTTGCCAATGCCTGAGCTAATATGTACAGGGCCAGCTAACACCTCTTAACAAGGGTTTGCCCCATGCAGGAAGCAGCCAGGCTTTAAAGAGGCAAGGCCATTAAATGCTAATCAAAGTGGCCAACTGCAACATTCACACTTGCCTCCAGCAGACAAGAGTTCTTTCTCCCACCCTGGACATTCCACAGTTATATAAATCCCACTTGCCTAGTTTACAACAGACCTCACAACCTCTGAGGAGGCCTGCCATAGATGTAGGCAAAACGTCAAGAGAGAATGCCATACAGCCCAGAAAACTCATAGCAACCCAGACGCTCTAACAGTGTATGTACCTTGCTGATTGCCTTCCAATATATGCAATGTCTTGAGAAGCATGTTTTCTCACACTTCTTAAATCTAACCATGCTTAAAAAAAATCCTCCTGACCTTTTTATCCAGCCCATAGGCTATGGCAGCAGCTGTAGGTTCGTTGATGATACGAAGGACATTGAGGCCTGAAATGGTACCAGCATCCTTGGTGGCCTGTCTCTGGGAATCGTTGAAGTAAGCCGGGACTGTGATGACTGCATTGGTAACAGTCTATAATGGAGAGAAGGCTGAGTTAGAAATAGTTACATTCATATTATCCATACATATAATATAATACAAACAGTCTATAATGGAGAGAAGGCTGAGTTAGAAATAGTTACATTCATATTATCCATACATATAATATAATACATTGTGTGTATATGTATGTATGTATATATATGTGTGTGTGTGTGTGTATAATATTTATATAATAATGTAATGCAATATAATACTAATAATAATATATTATAATTGAGTTGTAGTTTTTTTCAGGCTATATGGCCATGTTCTAGAGGCATTCACTCCTGACGTTTCGCCTGCATCTATGGCAAGCATCCTCAGAGGTAGTGAGGTCTCACTACTGAGGATGCTTGCCATAGATGCAGGCGAAACGTCAGGAGTGAATGCCTCTAGAACATGGCCATATAGCCCGAAAAAACCTACAACAACCCAGTGATTCCGGCCATGAAAGCCTTTGACAATACATTATATTATATTATATTATATTGTATTATATATTACTAATAATATTGTAATATAATGGTATAATACAATATAGTAATAATTAATACTGATATTGTACTATGCTAATCATATAATATATTGTATGTATATATATCTTGTAAGCTGCTCTGAGTCCCCTTTGGGGTGAGAAGGGCGGCATATAAATAAAATAAATAAAATAAATATTACTCCAAGTCCCACTTTTTCTCTTTGCCACAAGATGTCCTAGTCTCCCAAAGGATCTCTACTGATGTTTGGACTTCAACGCCCAGAAGCCCAAGCACAAACAGCGAATGAGCAGAAACTCTGGGGTGCAAAGTCTGAAACATCCAGAGAACCAAAAGACGAGGAACATCATGTTGACAGTTAACTACCTTGCCTAAGTAGGCTTCTGCAATTTCCTTCATCTTGGTGAGGACCATAGAGGAGATCTCTTCCGCATAGAAGGATTTTGTCTCGCCTTTGTACTCCACTTGCACTTTGGGACGGCCCCCATCATTGATCACATGGAATGGCCAATGCTTCATGTCGGAGTGGACCACGGGGTCATCGTAACGGCGGCCAATAAGGCGTTTGGCATCTGGAAAAGAGAGGAGTGACGTGGTACAGTGAGCTGATCCTCTCCCATGTTAAAGGACCAATCAATGTGTGTATATGTGTGTGTGCATACATTTGTGTATATGTGTATATATGTGTGTTTGCATGTGTGTGTGTGTGTGTGTGTATATATATATATATATTTGTATTTCTGTGTTTAATAAACTTAATAATAATAAACTTTATTTAATACCCCACCACCATCTCCCCAATGGGGACTTGGGGCGGCTTACATGAGGCCAAGCTCAACAGCATATTACAATAAAATAAAACCAAAACACAATAACAACACAGTAAAATGCATACAAAAAAAGATAAAGCAAAATCATACACAATAAAATAACAATGAGTGGGCCGCATGTTCGAGATAAAAAAAACATTAAAATACTTAAGATCTCAATTTCTAAGCCAAAGCACCGGCGTTGTCCGTAGACACCTCCAAGGTCATGTGGCCAGCATGACTGCAAGGCGCACCATTATCTTCCTGCCGGAGCGGTACCTATTGATCTACTCACATTTGCTTGCTTTCAAACTGCTAGGTTGGCAGAAGCTGGGGTAACAGCAGGAGCTCACTCCGCTCCTCAGATTCGAACCGCCAACCTTTTGGTCAGCAAGTTCAACAGCTCAGCAGTTTAACCCACTGCGCCACCAGGAGGCCCTTTAGCTCTTCCTACTTCAAAATAAACCCTAATTGTGGCTCAATTCAACCATTAATATATTGTAAGAGAGAAACTCCTCTATGGAAAGAAAAAGAACCAGGACACAGCACAACTTCTCATCCAGAACCTAAAAGAGAAGCCACCACACTACAGATGGTGCGGGTTGATCCTTACCGAAGACAGTGTTGGTGGGGTTCATGGCCACTTGGTTCTTGGCAGCGTCACCGATGAGGCGCTCAGTATCTGTGAAGGCCACATAGCTGGGGGTGGTGCGGTTGCCCTGGTCGTTGGCAATGATCTCCACCTTCCCATGTTGGAAGACCCCGACGCAGGAATAGGTGGTCCCCAGATCAATTCCTACTGCTGGACCCTTGGACATTTTGGCTGCAAGAAGACATGCAATGAACATGAATGCAAATGGCTTCACAGGATTCAGCAGAAAGGTATAGTTATATAACTCCAATTTAGGTCCCAGGCTCAATTCCTGCCACCTCCAGTTGGGTAGAAAGCTCTCATTTGAAACTGTGGGAAGTCAAACAACTACACTCAACAGCTAGAAGACCACACATTGCTCATTCTAATACAAACAGGAGTTGATAAGACTAAGTTACAACATATCAGGCTCATTTGTCTTCTATTCCTTCCTTCCTGCCTGATGCTTATACCTCTCCATAACATACTTGGATTAGCAGCCAGCTTCCAGATCTGTGGACATTTTTTTTCTAGCTCTGCCACCCCCAAAAAATGCCATAATTGGATGTTTGGAAATTGAACCGAGGATATTCTGCAGATAAAATATGCATTCAGGGAAGTATAAGGTTTGGCTGCCCTCTGCTGGAGAGAAGAGAAACTGCATGTACTGAAAAGCATCTGCATTTTAAGGTTCAAGTACTTACCCTAACTATATAACAGTGGTTCTCAACCTGTGGGTCCCCAGATGTGTTGTTCTACAACTCCCAGAAATCCTAACAGCTGGTAAACTGCCTGGGATTTCTGGGAGTTGTAGGCCAAAACACCTGGGGACCTACAGGTTGAGAACCACTGGTATAGTACAATATAGTACTACACCAATATAGTATAGACCTACAAGCCACTCTAAACACCTTCGCAGAAGCATATGAGAAGCTCGGCCTGTCATTGAACATCAAGAAAACCAAAGTGCTATTCCAGCAGTCACCGGCCAACCCCTCTCCAATGCCAGAAATACAGCTTAATTGTGTAACACTAGGAAAAGTTGACCATTTCTGCTCCCTTGGCAGCCACCTCTCCACAAAAGTCAACATTGATACTGAAATTCAACACCGCCTGAGCTCTGCGAGTGCAGCATTTTTCCAAATGAAACAGAGAGTGTTTGAGGATCGGGATATCCGTAGGGAGACTAAGGGGCTTGTTTATAAAGTTATTGTCCTTCCAACCCTGCTATATGCCTGCGAGACGTGGACAGTCTACAGACGTCACATGCAACTCCTGGAACGATTCCATCAGCGCTGCCTCTGAAAAATCCTGCAAATCTCTTGGGAAGACAAGCGGACAAATGTCAGCATGCTGGAAGAAGCAAAGACCATCAGCACTGAAGCGATGGTCCTCCGTCATCAACTCCGCTAGACTGGTCATGTTGTCCGGATGCCCGACCACTGTCTCCCAAAGCAGTTGCTCTACTCCGAACTCAAGAATGGAAAACGGAATGTTGGTGGAGAGGAAAAGAGATTTAAAGATGAGCTCAAAGCCAAGCTTAAAAATTCTGGCATAGACACTGAGAACTGGGAAGCTCTGGCCCTTGAGCGCTCCAGCTGGAGGTCAGCTGTGACCTCCAGTGCTGCAGAATTTGAAGAAGGTGAAAGACAGAAATGTGCCAAGGGGAAGGCGCGTCAAGCCAACCTGGAAACCAATGCCCTCACTGCGGGAGAAGATGCAGATCAAGAATAGGGCTCCACATTCACCTACGGACCCACCGCCAGGATACTACACTTGGAGGACCATCATCCTCGGACTACGAGGGATCACCTAAGTAAGTAAGTACAATATAGTAATATACAATACTGATATTGTACCATGCTAATAATTTAATATATTATATGTATATATATATCTTGTAAGCCACTCTGAGTCCACTTCGGGGTGAGAAAGGCGGCATATAAAAGTCTTTACATAAATAAATAATTTTAATTCTCGGGCTACCATTCTAAGTACTTCAATTTGCCACTTTTCCTTATAACAAAAAGTCGTGCACACAATTAAGATGGTTTCATGAATGTCATTGCAGCCAAAGAACAGTGATCTCAAAAGACACGACTGGAATGGCAGAGAATCAACACATTCTTAAGGTTGGGAAGAGCAGTTTTGCAGAAATGAGTAATGTTGTTGTGCTTTTTGTGCAGAGAATTTGCTCTATGTATAACATAAACATAGCCCCTTACTGGAAATCTTGGGTATTGCAGCCCCTCTGTTATGCTTCTGGAAAAAAGCCAGGCCAGACTACACATAATGCAAAAAAACAAAACGACGCAATTTTCCACAGTTCAGCCTGGAAGACTGGAATTTGACTTTCTGCTATCTTGGAACATGTCAACAGTCTCCCCAGATGAAATTAGAAGACCTAAAGGGGATCTAAAAGACGTTTTCAAAGAAGTCGCCTGTTAGTTTATTCCTTAGCCCATCCATGGAAATCAAGTGATATCCATGGATGTCCATTCAAAACTTTTAATATCAGGTTTCAGCCTCAACAGAAATATGACACCTGACTTTGGAAAAAAGCTGTGTCCACTGCGACAGACTTCAACACCCACAATTCCTACTGGTTGTTAGGAATTGTAGATGTTGAAGGGTACTCATCTCAATTTATAAGCTGAAGAGCCGGCGTTGTCCACAGACACCTCCAAGATCATGTGGCCGGCATGACTGCATGGAGCGCCGTTACCTTTTATTGTAGGTGAACTGTAACTCTCAGCAACTACAACTCCCAAATGTCAAGGTCTATTTTCCCCAAACTCCACCAGTGTTCACATATGGGCATATTGCGTATTCGTGCCAAATTTGGTCCAGATCCATCATGGCTTGAGTCCACAGTGCTCTCTTGATATAGTTGAATGACAACACCAAAACTAAAGCTCAATGCCCAAGAAACCCATCCAGTATTTTCTGTTGGTCATGCGAGTTCTGTGTGCCAAGTTTGGTTCAGTTCCTTCATTGGAGTTCCGAATGCTCTTTGATTGTAGGTGAACTATAAATCCCAGCAACTACAACTCCCAAATGACAACAGGTAAAGGTTTTCCCTTGACATTAAGTCCAGTCATGTCCGACTCTGGGGTGTGGTGCGTATCTCCATTTCTAAGCCAAAGAGCCAATGTTGCCCGTAGACACTTCCAAGGTCATGTGGCCGGCATGTCTTCATGGAGTGCTGTTACCTTCCTGCCAAAGCAGTATTCACATTTGCATGTTTTCAAACTGCCTAGGCTGGCAGAAGCTGGGGCTAACAGCTGGAGCTCACGCCACTCCCCGGATTCAAATTGCGATCTTTTGGAAAGCAAGTTCAGCAGCTTATATCAAAACAGCATTCAAATTTGAGAGTATCGGGTATTTGTGCCAAATTTGGTCCAGTGAACGAAAATACATTTATTATTTGCAGCTTTTATATTCCGCCCTTCTCACCCCGCAGGGGACTCAGGGCGGATTACAGTGTACACATATATGGCAAACATTCAATGCCAATTTTTGACATACAAACATATACAGACATACACAGAGGCTATTTAACTTTTTCTGGCCGACCAGGGGAGCTGTCGCTTTCATCGTCCATCTGCGACGCTGATGAAGTACTTCCGCATTCCCCGCATGCTTCCCCGCTGGAATGCTTTGCTGGAGTCTTCTTTATGGCCTCATAAATCAGTTAATTTAGCCTCCCCACACTTTAAGGTGGTACCTAATTTTCCTACTTGACAGATGCAACTGTCTTTCGGGTTGCAAAGTTCGACAACAGGCTACACACAATTGGTTGGAAACCCACTCCAACCCGGGCTGGCTTCGAACTCATGACCTTTTGGTCAGAGTGATCTTAATGCAGCTGACACTCAGCCAGCTGCGCCACAATCCTACATATCAGATATTTACATTACGATTCACAACAGTAGCGAAGTTATAGTTATGACGTAGCAACGAAACAATTTTATGGTTGAGGGCCACCACAACATGAGGAACTGTATTAAGGGGTCGCAGCATTAGGAAGGTTCAGAACAATTGCCATGGAGGGTGACTCAGTGCCCAGGATATCACAGCATTGAGCCGTGGCAGTTAAAGTGGTGCCAAACTGCACACAATGTGATAGTGTAGATTAGATGCACCCGACATTGGGCTACTTTCAACGCAAAGTGAGCTGCGTTGAGCAATTCTGGGGCTGAACTATGGGTGGGTCTAAAGGATCAGATCTTGGCAAAAGGAAGCACCAGACTTGGCACCAATCTGCATCGCAGGAAGAAGTCTAGCTGGGCACAGCTGCCGCTCCAGATAAGACGAAGCCACCCACCCAAGGCAACTCCACCCCGGGCGGCTCTGCACTTTGCACAGTTTGGCCCCGAATCAAGAGCTGACAAAGGGCAGGGGGCGGAGATGTGCTTGTCCGAGAGAGTTTTCTAGAAGGCTTTTTCTGGAGGCCAACCTCTCGGAGGGTTCGGAGGCTGCAACATTGCAGCAGGCTCGCTAAAGAAACCGCCTATCATCCCTGTCAACAGGGAAAGCAGCAGATGGCTGTCCAACATCGCTGTCCAAACCACCCACTACGCATTGCTCTCCGATCTTGACAATTTATCACGTCTCTTTCCCAAACGAGAACACAAACCTTCATATTTATGTAAGGAAAGTTTAAAATAAAACTATAGACTCGGAGGGGGAAGCAACAGGGCATAGTCTGAGCATAAAGGTTGAGATTCCAGATATAGAACTATCTCTATATATCAAAAGATACATTTGGAGCATGGAAAGGTAGGGTTGCTTTGGTGGGGATTTTGGGAGTTGCAGTCCCAAACACTAGTTCTTCCCTGTTTTGGATAGTTTCCTCTCATCTTTTGAGTAACCCAGGCACGGGCAAACTTCATTCCTCCAGGTGTTTTGGATTCCAACTCCCACAATTCCTAACAGCCTATCGGCTGTTAGGAATTGTGGGAGTTGGAGTCCAAAACACCTGGAGGGATGAAGTTTGCCCATGCCTGCTCTAACCCTTAGAATCTAGATCAGTGTTTCTCAACCTTCCTAATGCCGCAACCCCTTAATACAGTTCCTCATGTTGTGGTGACCCCCCAACCGTAACATTATTTTCTTTGCTACGTCATAACTGTAGTTTTGCTACTGTTTTGAATCGTAATGTAAATATCTGATACGCAGGATGTATTTTCATTCACTGGACCAAATTTGGCACAAATACCCCATACCCCCAAATTTGAATCCTGGTGGGGTTAGGGAGGGATTGTTTTGTGATTTGGGAGTTGTAGTTGCTGGGATTTATAGTTCACCTACAATCATTCTGAACTCCACCAATGATGGAATTGAACCAGACTCAGCACACAGAATTCCCACGACCAACAGAAAATACTGGGTTTGGTGGGCACTGACGAGTTTTGGAGTTGTAGTTCACCTGCATCTAGAGAGCACTGTGGACTCAAACAATGATGGATCTGGACCAAACTTGGCACAAATACTCAATGTGCCCAAATGCGAACAATGGTGGAGTTTGGGGAAAATAGACCTGGAATTTGGGAGTTGTAGTTGTTGGGATTTATAGTTCGCCTACAATCAAAAAGCATTCTGAACTCCACCAAGGATAGAATTGGGTCAAACTTCCCACCCATAAACCCAAAGACCAACAGTAAATACTGTGTTGTTGTAGGTTATTTCGGGCTATATGGTCATGTTCTAGAGGCATTCTCTCCTGATGTTTTGCCTGCATCTATGGCACGCATCCTCAGAGGTAGTGAGGTCTGTTGGAACTAGGAAAAAAGGGTTTCTAATGGTCTTTGGTGACTCCTCTGACACCCCCTTGCAACTCCCAGGTTGAGAACTGCTGATCTAGATTATGGATGCAGAAGAGCTGAGAACCCTTTGAAAGTTGGCAACATTCAAGTTGAAAATTATCCATTCTTAGGAGAGTAGCAAGTGAAAAAAAAAGCATGGCATATATAACAGCCTATTATTATTATTATTATTATTATTATTATCACCATAATCATCTTATTTCTCTCTCCCTTATCTATGGATCCAACCCATAAGAATTGTGGGAGTTGAAGTTCAAAACACCAGGAGGGCCGAAGTTTGCCCATGCCTGCATTAGCTGGATCTACACTTCCCTGTGTCCCAGCATCTGATGTCAGATTATTTGCTATGACCTGAATTATAAGAGTCTACACTGTCAGATAATCTGGATCTTGCTCACCCTTTCCTTATTGTGGCAGCCTCCTAACACCTTGGGACTGCAACTCCCATCGGGATGGGGATGATGGGAGCTGCAGTCCAAATAAAACTTCAGAGTAGAAAACAATGGGACTCTTACAGTATTTTTTGTCAACACCCCAATAGGCAAGAAGGCAACCCCAAGTTAATACCAATGTAAACAAAAACAGTATCCATCCATCCCACTCTGTAGCAGCTGTTGCAAACCCAGAGGAATGGGATTCAAAGGCTGCAAAACAGAAGTCAAAAAGCCCAGCAAAATAAGTCTGCTTTGGAATGAATCGGATGGCATGCACCAAATGTTTTTAGTGCATCAACTCGGTAATTTTCCATGGGAAAATAATAATGCAATCGATACTATCCCATTGCAAGTTCCTGTCGCTTTTCAAGCATTGACTGTTAAGTCAGGAATCAATCCCATGACTGGGTGCAGCTAACATTGTAGAAAGAATGCAGTCTGACACCACTTTGGCTGCCACGGCTCAATGCTATGGGATTGTGAGATTTGTAGTTTCCCCAAGGTCTATAGCCTTCTCTGCCAGATCAAAGGCAGCTGAAAGTGGGATCAAACCGTGTTCATTCTACAGTGTGGCATTCAGTTAGTCCCAGGATCCTCCCCCTAAACTTGATGAAGTTTTCAGAACGAAGTGAAAAAGCACTCTGCGTTATGCTCAGAGGCATGGCTGCACTCTTGATCAGGGAAATAAGAGAAAAATACAAATACAATGGCAACTTTACATGTGATCTTTTTGTGCAGCTTGTAAACAAACAGAAGGAAATCAACCTCCTCTCCATGCAAACAACTTATGCAATAAATAATATAAAATAAAAAATAATAGTGTAAATATAAATAAAAATATATAATAGAAATAATATTAAAATAATAAATAATAGAAATAATATAATAAAGTATAAATTAATATAATATATTTAAAACATAAAATAAAAAAGCAGTTTGACACCACTTTGGCTGCCATGTCTCATGCAATAAATAATATAAAATAATATAATAATAGTGTCAAGATAAATAATAATATAATAATATATATAATAAAATAATAAAAACATTAAAATAATAAATAATATAAATAAATAATAAAATTAAATAAAATATAAATTAATATAATATATTTAAAACATAAAATAAAAAAGCAGTTTGACACCACTTTGGCTGCCATGCCTCATGCAATAAATAATATAAAATAATATTATAATAGTGTAAATATAAATAATAGTATAATAATATATAATAAAATAATAAAAACATTTTAAAAAATAATAAATAATATAAATAAATAATAAAATATAAATTAATATAATATATTTAAAATATAAAATAAAAAGTAGTTTGACACCACTCTGGCTGCCATGGCTCATGCAATAAATAATGCAAAATAATAAAATAATAATATTAATATTAATAATATAAAATAAAATGCAGTTTGACAGCACTTTGGTTGCGATGGCTCATGCAATAAATAATGCAAAATAATGAAATAATAATAATATAAATAGTATATTATATAATAATATATAATAAATTAATAATATTCAAATAAATAATAGAAATAAATAATAAAATAATAATATAAAATATAAAATAATATAAAATATTTAAAATATAAAATGAATTGCAGTTTGACACCACTTTGGCTGCCATGGCTCATGCAATAAAAATATAAAATAATAATAATAGAAGTAATAATAATATATAATAAATAAAAATAATATTAAATAATAAATAGTAGAAATAATAAAATAAAAATAATATAAAATAACATATTCAATATTTTAATTTAAAATATTAAACAAAATTTAATTTTTAAAAATAAAAATAAAAATAGTTCCAACTTGTACCTTTTGCACACTGCAGTGCCTGGGATTGTGCCCTGCTCTGACACTCTTGCAAACGCGTTCCAAGGTACTCGCCTCGCCCAGGCTTTTTATAAGCGAGCCCCCACCAGCCCCCACCGCTGACACTTTGCAGAAGCTTCTGGACTTGGCCTCCCCCTCGTCCAATCCCGAGCCCCGACGCGACAAAAGGGGCGGGATCGAGCTCTAGTGCGGACGGGGCTTGAGCACAGCCTGGAACTTTCAAGCAGGATCTGGAAGGAGGAGGAGGAGGAGGAGGAGGGGGAGTGGGGGCGCTGCAGTGGAGGGGCTGCCTTGCTTTGGCAGAAGGCATGCATTGCTGGACCTTCTCTCCCTTATCCCAGTGGGTCTCCACCTTCCTAAGACCTCGACCCCTTAATACAGTTCTTCATATTAGTGGTGACCCCCCAAACATAAAATTATTATATTGTTGAAGGCTTTCATGGCATGAATTACTAAATTGTGGTGTGTTTTCCAGGCTATATGGCTATGTCCCAGAAGCATTCTCTCCTGACGTTTCGCCTGCATCTATGGCAGGCATCCTCAGAGGTTGTGAGGTCTGTTGGAAACTAGGCAAGTGAGGTTTATCTATCTGTGGAATGTCCAGGGCCAACTAACACCTCCCAACAAAGGATTCTCCCAGGCAGCAACCAGCCAGACTTTGAAGCTGAAAGGTAATTCCATGCTAATCAAGGTGGCCAATTGCAACATTCACATGTACCTCAAGCAGACAAGAGTTCTTCCTCCCACCCTGGACATTCTACAGATATATAAACCCCACTTGCCTAGTTTCCAACAGATCTCTCAACCTCTATAGGCAAGTGGAATGGGGTTTGTATATCTGTGAAGTGTCCAGGGTGGAAGAAAGAATTCTGTCTCCTTGAGGTAGATGTGAATCATAGAATCATAGAATTAAATAATTGGAAGAGACCTCATGGATCATCCAGTCCAACCCCCTGCCAAGAAGCAGGAATATTGCATTCAAATCACACCTCACAGATGGCCATCCAGCCTCTGTTTAAAAGCTTCCAAAGAAGGAGCCTCCACCACACTCCAGGGCAGAGAGTTCCACTGCTGAAGGACTCTCACAGTCAGGAAGTTCTTCCTTATGTTCAGATGGAATCTACTGTTTCCTTTGACTGCCTTGATTAGCATTTAAATGCCCAGCAGTTTTACTGCCTGGGGAAATCCTTTGTTGAGAGGTGATTAGCTGTCCCTGATTGTTTCTTGTCTGGAGTTCCCCTGCTTTTTAAATTGTTTTTCTCTTTATCATTCCAATTTTAGTATATACGCAGTCAAAGTCCATGGACCATAATAAAGTTATGTATGTACGTAATTTTTTTTAATTATTTGCATTTTTTTCGTGGTGACAGCATGCCAGAAACATGAGAGTTAAGCACTATTCTTATTTCTCTACTTGCGCCCACAACACAAGCACTATAACCAGAAATGTCCTTTTTTTTCGTCTCAGGAGTGACTGGAGAAACTGCAAGTCGCTACTGGTGTGAGACAATCAGCTGTATGCCAGGGGATGCCCGTATGTTTGAAGTTTTTATCATCCTTCTCGGAGGCTTCTCTCGTGTCCCTGCATGGGGAGCTGGAGCTGACAGATACATAACTATATATATAAGGACACCCCCCCCCCCGGGTTACACAGTGGGTTAAACTCTATGATTCTTTGTTTCTATGGAATCCCACAAATTTCTGGGTGCAATCCATTACCCAACATTGGTTTGCAATATGATCATTGGTGTTTCTTCCTTTCCTGAACCCAGTTTGGACACTTGGCATTTCTTGCTCCATATAACACTAAAAAAAGTTGTAAAATTTTGAGAATCACTTTGCCTGGTTGGGAAAGTAAGGCAGTGGTCTTGTGGTCATTGCAATCACTGTTTTTCCCCTTTCATGGGGATTGCAATGTATACTGACCATCTCTAATCTCTGGACCATTATTTAGTTTTCCATATTTGTTGACAAATTGTAGTTCGAACTAAAGTCAAGTCCATCTCTGTGGCACGGAGCAGCTCCATTGGTAAGCCATCTGTTCCTAGTGATTTATTCTTCCAACGTGTTCGAAGTGCCATCCACCCCCTCTCACATGCACAGTAGAAACAGTTCATTAAAAGGACTAAATTAGAAAATGAGCAAAACATTTCAACTCATGCCTTTTCCAGTTGCTAAAGATGAAATTATAACTGAAGAATGTGGAAGCCAAAATGGTTTGGCTCAGATTATAAATATATTTTAGTTTGGTTTATTAATAATTTACATAATAGATTTTTTTTGCTTGTCAGGAGCAACTTGAGAAACTGCAAGTCGCTTCTGGTGTGAGAGAACTGGCCGTCTGCAAGGACCTTGCACGGAGGGCGACCATATGTTTTGATGTTTTACCATCCTGGTAGGAGCCCCCAGTCGTGCAATGGGTTAAACCCTTGTGTCGGCAGGATTGAAGACTGACAGGTCGGAGGTTCGAATCCAGGGAGTGCATGGATGAGCTCCCTCTGTCAGCTCCAGCTCCCCATGCAGGGACGTGAGAGAAGCCTCCCACAAGGATGTTAAAACATCAAAAATCTGGATGCCCTGGTCAACGTCCTTGCAGACAGCCAGTTCTTTCACACCAGAAGCGACTTGCAGTTTCTCAAATCGCTCCTGACACATACACACACCATGTCACCACATGGTGAGCTGGAGCTGACAGAGGGAGCTCATCTGCGTTTTCCCCAGATTCAAACCTCCAACCTGTTGGCCTTCAGTCCTGCCCAGGTGATCAATAATCATAATAATAAATTAATAATCATTCATTATTATTGACTAGCTGTCCCCTGCCACGCGTTGCTGTGGCCCACATGGGGGTTCTGTGTGGGAGGTTTGGCCCAATTCTATCGTTGGTGGGGTTCAGAATGCTCTGTGATTGTAGGTGAACTATAAATCCCAGCAACTACAACTCCCAAATGTCAAGATTCTATTTTCCCCAAACTCCACCAGTGTTCACATTTGGGCATATTGAGTCTTCGTGTAGAGTTTGGTCCAGATCCATCATTGTTTGAGTCCACAGTGATCTCTGGATGTAGGTGAACTACAACTCCAAAACCAAAAGACACTGCCCACCAAACCCTTCCAGTATTTTCTGTTGGTCATGGGAGAACTGTGTGCCAAGTTTGGTTCAATTCCATCGTTGGTGGGGTTCAGAATGCTCTTTGATTGTAGGTGAACTATAAATCCCAGCAACTACAACTCCCAAATGACAAAATCAATTTTTTGAGTGAAGGACATACATTGGGTTGTTAGGTGCCTTGTGTCCAAATTTGGTGTCAATTCATCCAGTGGTTTTTGAGTTCTGTTAATCCCACAAACGAACATTTTTATTTATATAGATTGGACACCTGGATGTTTTACCATCCTGTGGGAGGCTTCTCTCATGTTCCCGCATGAGAAGCTGCAGCTGACAGATGGGAGCTCACCCGCTCCCCGGATTCAAACTGCCGACCTTTCGGTCAGCAGGACTGCTGACTGAAAGGGTTTAACCCAGTGCGCCACCGGGGGCTCATATGTCATTATTAGTATTGATAAATAAATTAATGAAGTGCCATTTTCAGTGATTCGGGACGAATTGCTCATTTCCTTTTTAATCCCCTATATAACCATACATGTGTGTTTATGTGTATGCGTGTGTGTATGTGTGTATAAGCACACATACACATATTAAATCATGATGTCTCATAGATCTTTAGTTGAGAAACTCTGCTCTATAAATAAATTTATGATAAAGTTTGTTCTTGGTTGCTATGTTGCTTCTCCAAGGAAGCAGGGATGAGCTCATTTTCTAATTCCATCCTTTGCCCTCGCTGGACTGGATGATTATTTTAGGGACAAGGGCAGGTGCGCTAAAGGATAAGAGGAACAGGGAGACCACCCAGGGCTAAATATATGTATCTATATTTGAAAAAGAAAATGTGTAATGTCAATGAAAGAATGGAAAAAAGAAAACCCATGGCAGACAAATAGGAATAAGGGTGTTGCAACTTTTTAATGAGAATGGGCTCATTAGTTTAGATCTATGCAACACATTTGGATCCTCCATAAAGTGGAGCTAGGATGTGTTGTCAAAGGCTTTCACGGTCGGAATCACTGGGTTGCTTTGGGTTTTCTGGACTGTAAGGCCATGACCCAGAAGCATTCTCTCCTGATGTTTTGCCCACATCTATGGCAGGCATCCTCAGAGGTTATGAGGTCTGTTGGAAACTAGGCAAATGAGGTTTATATATCTGTGGAATGTCCAGATATATGTAATTGAGGCAAGTGTGGATATTGCAATCGGCCACCTTGATTAGCATTGAATAGCACTGCAGCGTCAAAGCTTGGCTGCTTCCTGCCTGGGGAAATCCTTTGTTGAGAGGTGTTGGCTGGCCCTGATTGATTCCTGTTGGGAATTCCTCTATTTTCAGTGATGCTCTTTATTTACTGTCCTGATTTTAGAGGGTTTTTAAAATACTGGTTGCCAGATTTTGTTCATTGTTTCCTCATGGTTTCCTCCTTTTTCTCCCACACTGAACATTCCACAGATATATAAACCTCAGTTGCCTAGTTTCCAACAGACCTCACAACCAATGAGGATGCCTGCCATAGATGTGGGCGAAATGTCAGGAGAGAATGCTTCTGGAACATGGCCATACAGTCTGGAAAACTTATAGCAACGCAGTGAAACTAGGATGTTTTGAAATCAGCTGAAAGAGTGGGACATCAGGGGATTCATTGAGTTTATACCAATTGATAGAAATGGCAACTCCAAAAAAAAGTTGCAGATTATTTCAATTTTCTTGGACGCAGCATAGGATTTATAGATTGTACTCCTTGAATAGGGAAATTAAAAAAATATTTATTTATTTATTATTTACTGTATTTGTATACCGCCTTTCTCAGCCAATTGGCGACTCAAGGCAGTTTCCAACAAATCAGTATACATAAAACATAATAGATAAAAAACATTAAACAGTATAAGACATCACAAAAGCAATAAAAGCAACATCATCAGCGTCTCATTATTCTCAAGCATTGTCCAATTCCATTGTCAGGTCATTCGATTTCCTATATTAGCTACTCTGTATTTGTAAACGCTTGCTCGAAT